CTCTCTCCCCAGAGGTTTCCCACACGTGGCACAGGTAACAGAAAAACAACCTTTGCTCTTCCCAAGTCTGCAATTAGTGTTTGCTCAATATTGATCCCTGTCTGATTAACACTTCGCTAAATTTATTGACCTATTAAGGGATTTATTACAAGTTCTTGAAAGACTGCTTAGAAAACCTTTATGGGCTTTAACAGATTAGCAGTAATAATTAGTGCTTTAGCAGATGAAAGTAAGATAGGAAATGCACGTGAGATTTTTTGTTGTTTTTTTCCCTGTGATGATTATTTCCACTTTATTCCCTGAGTGTAGAGGCAAACTACACAGTCATTAACACACAAAAAAACTGCTCTCTCCCCCACTTTCTTTTCCAAAGCTTTTCCTGAGGTAGAAGCTTCACAGGATACATTACACTAAGTTAAAGGCTAAACATTTCAAGTAACCTCAGCCTTTGAGAGTCAGCCTAGATTATTTTTTATTATACTTGGAATGTTTTTGTTGTTTTTTTTTTTTTTTAAAAAAAAAAGCATTTCATTTCAACCTTACTGCTTTTCAGAACTAGCCTGAGTGCTGTCCACTAATCAGCTCATTTAACAACTCCACCAGGGCTGTATTTCTAATCAGGGCAGCCTCATAATTCACCCCACTCTAAGAGTCAACATGACTGATTGCTAATCTTTCCAATTGCTTTCAGCCTTGTCTTAATATCACAGCACATTGTAAAATGATTGCTAATAATGCACAGGGCTTTATAAAGAAGCAAACTTCATTAACTGCATTCTACAAAAGGGAAACTGAGGCACGCTCCTGCAGCCAGCTGCCCAGAGATCAACCAGCACCAGGAAGAGAAACCATCTAGCTGGAATCTCTGTCCAGCATCAGTCTAGTGCCACTCAGAGAATGACAAGCTCAGAGGAGAGTAACATAAGTTCACCCAGAACCTTTGCAAGCAAGCTCCAAGTGTTACTGAAAACTGTTTTTCATTAAGAGGAATAGAATGAACCCCAGCAGATTTTAACCTTTTCCTTTATCACAGACCAAGACTCAGCCACAGAAGACATTCTCCCACAGTCCATGCTCCAGAAGTCTGATGCATGATAGGACACAATTCTTCTAATTTCTCTCTACTTCTATTACATACCTTTAACTTTTGCAAGCATCAAATTTACATAACCACGCTGTCACTGACACTGTCAGCATTAATGCTCAGCCTGCTGATTCCTCAGGGCCATTAAAATCCTCACTATACCTGATGTGACTATAAGCAGCATAAAAAAAGATGCTCTTACTTCTTCCATTTCCAGTTCTTATGACATAGACTGCACACACACTTACAGTCTTATATCAGTTCTATTTTAGGCTTGACAAAATTCGGATGTGGGTGCCCCTGGATACATTGTGAGATGAAAAGTTGCATTTTCAGTTGTTTAATTAAGAACTGCAACACAAGACCTAGGACACACACAGAAGGCAATAAGCCATAGGTGCTTGAGGCAGTGTGGGTTGTCTGAATTTCCCTCTCTTCTCCCACCTAATCCAACACAGGATTAAATACAGCTGAAGAGCCACCACTGACGTTATCTCACAGTAGTTACCTTCACAATCTCAGTGCAAACAGACTTTTGATCTCAAGTTATGATCTCTGTGGGGGGTACATCACTCAGGGCTTCCTTCTCTTCCCTCCTTGTAACCATCCAAAGGAGCTGCAGAGGTTTATCTGGCTCTGCCTACCAGCACCCCTGTGTGTCGTGCACGCCAGCAGTGTCAGAGCCACTGTGTGCAAGGAGGAACAAGAGCTCCCTCCTGTCAGGCTGCTGAGTGTGCAGGGAGAGCAGGAGACACCCACGGATCTGGAGGGGTGAACAGAGCTTTAGTCACTGTCATCTTTGGCTGACAGTCGGAGGGGGTTTGTGGCTGAGGGAAGAATGGACCCAGACTGCTTGACCAGGGTAGCTAAGGGTACAAATCCTGTCATCTCAGAGCACACTTAGTGCCTTCCACAGTTCATGACAGAGGCACAAAGCATTGTAACAATTTCATTCTCGCTCTCTGACTCTAAAATCCAGCAAAAGACAGAAAAGTGCTTGTGGAAGAGCAGCAAATGAGACAGAGAGGTCAGGGGGCAGCTCTTCAGTTAGCTCTAACAGCCTGTTTCGTTCTGGGGGCAGAGAACCAAGCCCAGCAGGCAAAGGAACATTTTGTATCACTGGAAGACTCCTGGAAGGCAGCATTAGAGTCATACATGGAATAAACTTGGAAATATTTTTAACTTCTGACACTTCTATAGCCTGTCAGGTGTGACGTGCAGATTCAGCTGCATGGCATAAGTGGGTAAATGTGTCAGCCCAGGAATGTTTTAATTCCCCCACGTTAGTCTGAGTGAGGTTATACGGGAGCATGAACTGTGCAGACACGCCTTGCTGGGATCTCCATTCCTCTGCAGATCCTGGATTCCTCTGCAGGAATCACCCCTCTAAGTGCTATAGGATCAGCTCTGCTGTGTCCATCCCATACGTCTCCCCAGCTGCCCCTCACCCCACGGCTTCTGCAGAGCTGCTGCTGAGGCAGTGCTCACAGCCCTGGTGCTGGCTGAGCTCCAGGGGAGGGGGCCCTGCTGGGCTGCCCCCTGCTCTGCTCTGCACACCTACGTGCTGCCTCCGTGGGCATCGAGGCTCTGGAGCTGGCAGATTTTTGGTTAGGCTGATGCACCCAAGGGCATCACAGCTCCCAGGTATAAAATCACTGGTCACTAGTCTGCAGCCCGTTTCTGGTGACAGGCAGTGAGTGGGTGATTTTCCACGTACACAGTGGACCCAATCACATTATTAATGCTCCATTTAAGGCTCAGCCTGACTGGCATGAGCACACAACACTGTCATCAATTTGTATTAACTCCCAGTTTAGCTGAGCTCGTGCAGAACCAGTCATCACAAACCCAGCACAAAACACTACAAAAGGGCAGAGTAATTTTGGGCAAAGTAATTTGTCTGAAAAGTGAATTTTTCGTTTAACAAAGTAAGGGCAAAGTAATTTGTTTGAATTAGAGTTTTAAAATATTAAAAAGAGGATTTCTGAATTTTATTTGACACTGCCTCTGCTCTAAACAAAGCAAAAGGAAACACTCCACAGAAGCAAATCACCTTGGCCCCTGATACTCGTTTTTTTGTGAAAGGCCAGCTTCCTTCTTTGATATGGCAAATTTATGAGCACACATATGTATGACAGAGGCTACAACAGTATCAAAGGTCACAGCTAGAAACGTTTTCCTCACTCTCTGGCACTAAGTAGTTTGCAAGTGTTTATAGAATGTCTGGAGTGTCTGGAATCTTTCAGTCTCTTTGAATTTTTCCTTTAGTTTATAGGTGTTACAAAGACCCCACGTGATTTATGTATACACGTGTAAATTATAAACACTGCTCAAGTCAGATGTGGTTACTTGTAATGCTTCACTACTACAATAAAGCTCATTTTCAAGGCTAGCTCCCCATCATGTCTGGGAATGTACACACATACAGAGGTAAAGCATTCTGAAAAATAAAATTTCCAGGTAAAAATGAATAGAAGAGAGATGAATGATCACAAACATTTACTTCTACCTGTTTAGAGAAACACAAATCTGGAAGCAAACATTTGGAACTGATTTTGCCTGTCAAAGTAGTTGATCAGGACTTCCTGAGGATGTGTAATACTTAAGAATATATAAATAGACTTATGTATACATGCTCAGTTTGCCTTCAGCAATCTCATTAATTAGAAAGACAGACTTAGATTCCACTTGCTTTCAAGTTGCTTTGTCTTTTGTGCTAAAGATAATAAGTTTCACAAAGCAAGCTAAAAATAGAGAGAGCCCAACAAAACCCAAAGCTAAAAATACACAGCATGCAGAAGTGGATTTTTTTCGTTTTTCTAGGAAAAGCCAGGCTCAACTCAGCCTGGGGGTCACCACAGATTTCAGAGGTGGGTTTGAAACCAGCAGATGCTAGAGCAGTGGTGAGAACTGTGCCAGTCAGGGTTGCCTGGGCTCTCTGGAGAGCAGCAGTGTGGTGGGGGCACCCTCAGATATGTGTCCCAGAAAACCACCCGTGGTCAGCGAGGACATGCCTGAAAGAGGGTGACACCACATCTGAAGGGACAAGGGAGCCAGGCAGTGAAAGAGAGAGGAGATTTTAACTGCAGGGTGACAGAGGATATTCTTTCTGTCTCAGTACTTCAGGCTGAGAGGCCATTCGCACATCAAGAGATTAAATGTACTTAATAAAAATAGCTAACTGTCAACATATAAAATTAATACATTTCCAACTACTTTATCCAGAAGGACAAACTCCATTTTAGGAACTCCTTTGTGGGGATGGACAAATGAAAGGAGCAGTTTTCAGCCAGGCTGAATGCCACCTGTCTCATGGCACCGGGTCGGAGGAGATGTGGAGCCAGGCAGCAGCTCAGCAGGTCCAAGTAGGACAAAAAAGATTTAGGAACTTTTATGGAATTCAGGCAATCTGACCACGATCCAAAGAGCTTAAGGGTCTCTTCCTAGATCACACAATAGCACGCTGGCAAACTGCTCACTCTCTGGCTGCCAGCCAGCAGCACTGTCCTCCCTCCAGCTGCGCCAGTGGACAGAAGAGGGAGTGCTCAACTGAAGGAATTTTTTGCCTCAGGTTTCCAAGCTAGGCTTGATAGCTAAAACAATTGAAAACATTTACAATAAAATGAAAACAATACGTAATTGTATTGTTTTCCAGCTAGCCTGGTGCCAAGAAACAGCTTCGGTCAGGAAACCAGTTGTAAATTTGACAAGGAAGAAACAGAGATAAGTAGGACTGCTCTACTTGCCAGGAGAGACTCCCTAAATTTAACTGTCTTGAACTTTGTGGAGGAAGAGGAGGCCTTCAGCCCAGTCCAGTCCTACTCGAAACCAAACCCCAGTCAAGTCCTGGTGCCACCTATGGTGTGGTGCATCATGACTTAGATTTAGAACCCACAACACGAGGTAAGTGCCAGATATGGTTGATAATGCAGCAATGGTAAGGGCAGGTGTGTGCCTATGCTGAGAACGTAGAATTATATTCTGAATTATATACTGAATTATATCACTTCAGATGGTGACAACAATGCAAAGGTCTCTAATGCCAAACAGGCAAAGGACTTTTAGAAATCTGGGCTTGTATCTATCCTGAGTGAGGTGTGGATGCCCATGGCTTGGCTGAGGTGCACCAGCCAGGTGTGAAGCTGTGAACACCTCCAGGGCAGCTCATGCCACAGCAATGGGTTCAGCACCTTCAAAACCAAACCAAACCCACCAAACCCTCGAACCCCAACTTCCTGCTGCACTTTTCCAGGCAACAAAACAAACTTCAGGAAAGAGAAGGGGATGAAAGAGTGGGCTGCAGGAGGGGATCTGATGGGGTCCCTGGGAGAAAGGGGCTTCAGAGAAAGAGATGAGAGACTTCAGAGTGGAAATGGTGGAAAGGTGAAGGGCACGTTGTCAAGAGGTGGAACAAAGGATGGATGAAGCAAGAACAGGAATTACAGATTATGAAGCAACTATTTGAATGTAAACACCAGGGAGGGAAAAGAATTGTTTAGGGTGGTTCAGTGATATTTCTAGGAGTGATGGGATGCAGATAAGCAAGTGGAAAATGTAAGCTATAAAACAGGAAACATTTCCTGACAGTGAAGGCTAATAGACTGTGGAACAGTCTCCTAAGGGAAGTGGCAGGAGCCGCTCAGACAATTAAAACTAGACTAGACAACATACCTCAGGGCACAATCGTGCCTAAGACCACAGACAACTGACTGGATGTGACAAGTATCTTTCCTTCTTGCTTCAGAAATAAAGACATAAAGCCCAGTGGGAAAAGGACCATTGTAAATGCAAGGTCCCTGCAACACAGGGAGGAATCACACCTGACTCAAGTACCATCCAAATGTAAATTTTCCTTCTAATTGACACACAGTATGGCAGTTTGGTTCCTCCTGAGCAGTGTTTACACAAAAGATCCTGTTCTCTAATGTTACATTACCACCACCACAAAAAATAAAAAAGTCTAATTCACAATAGCCATTAATTCTTTGTTTGCTCACTTACTCAGGCATTCCACAATGTTTAATTAGCTCATTGTTTAAGGTTTAACAGCTTTAAGGACCTTTTTCTTATGAACTGCTGAGTTTATATCCTGTTCTACTTCACTGATACCATCCAGCTTTCTAAACCACAACTCTGATAACTACTTGCTAGAAAAACACTAATTCTTTGTTAGTTTGTAGACACTAGGAATACTGCAGAAAGCTTGCAGAAGTGAGATGCCAGTTATTTGGTGTGCATTGTATTCGACAGAAGAAGGGGAGAATGCTCCTGAGTGCTGGATGGAGGGCAGCAGGAGCCACCTGAGGCCCAGATGTTTGGTTTCTTTATTTTTAATTGTTAAAACTTGTTCTCCTCATTACCTTGATGGGCAGGCTGAAAGAGTTTCAGTGTCTTTGATTTCTGTGGCCCTATGGTCATGATCTATGAGCTCCACAACCTTGCACGGAGTGAACAATGAACTCGCTGCCCTTACTCAGAATTGTGACTCACACTGACTGCAAAGCTGGACCTGCATTACAGTCATGCCTTGATGTCCAAGTCATGCCCACACTCCCATTGTGCAGGGCACCACACAAACCCAGAACAGTAGACCTTGTTCCAAGGGTTTACAGTAAACAGTCCAGAATACCTCAACTGACCTTGGTCTCTTATCTGACAGCTTTCTTCTCTGGTTTGACTCCCATCCCAAGGAGTCTGAGACCAAACCCCTCACGCTGTGCAGGTGGTGCCACCTCTAACCAGCTCTGGGCAGCTTACCCCTGCAGTGCAATGATTTTTCTCCTGTAGGTTTGTGGACGTGGAGCTTGCAAAGAAAGCCCACTCCCCAGCACAGGGTGCTGCTGCAGCAGCTGCCTAAGCACATACTGACCCTGGGCTGGAGCAGCTGCCAAAAATACGTGTGCAGTCATTCCCTCATAGGACTGGCAGCACCTCAGAGAAGCAGCCACATGTGCTGGGGATGGCTCACCCAGGATGTCCTCGGTGCTTATTGATCAAAATATGGACAGAGGCACTTGGTGACACGCTGTGCTTGGAAGTTCTGGCTCTGCTGTTCCCCACTGGAGATGAGAAATGGCTCACACCCCTGGAGGTCTGGCCACTGCCTCCTGTACACACACCTGAAAACTGCACCCGTGGACTTTAGAAAGGGCAGGTCCTGAAGATAAGGTCTGTGAATGTTTGGAAGTGTGTCAAAATAATCAACCTGTGTCAAAACCAATTTTTTTTATAACTACAAAACATCAATGGAATAACACTGTAGAAATCACTACAGTTCATACAACACAAATGTCACAATGTCCTTTACTTTTCTTCTCAGCATTACTAAACATCTGTTAAACCAGAAAGTGAGCCAATATTGTTTATAATTTTCAGCATAAACTTAATTTTTGTGAGAGATTAACTAAAACAGTATCATTTTTTCAAGATTATATTGCCACAAGCTCACCCAAGTGTCCCTTTGCTGTTATAGGCAGCCACATTCTATATCAAGGTTCTATTTATAACTTCCAAATCCTTAGTGGATGGGTGGTATTGCTATGCTGATATGAAGATGAAGTGTTAAAAGCAGTCCTGAGCCTTCTAGTAGATGTGTTACAAAAGATCCCAAATTATGGTAATTAGCGGTGTAATGACAAGACTCCTCCACAATAATCTCTAAAAAATTGATGAGATATTATTAAAATCATTAGTCATTATTAAAATGCCTATAATTTACTAATCATAGGCAAACAGAAACTATAGTATTAATCACAATTATAAGAGGTTTTGAATTGTTATTGATCAAAGTTAAAGAGCCAGATAGGATAGTTAAGCAGTTATTCCTGTTAAAGTCCATTTAAGCTTTATAACCATCATAAACAGCCATCAAATCTTGCTGCAATAAAAGAGCAACTTGACACACACTTCAGCTACATCAGCTCTCCTCCTCTGAATGTCTTATTTCTTCTGACAATGAAAAAATGAGATTAAGATGTTCTACTGAAAAGTTTTTCAACCCTCTGTGTAGGATCACAGCTAAGTTAGAATAAAGATTCTTCATGTCTTTTGGGAAATGAGATCTTTCATTTCTATGAATTCCTTATTGCACCAAGGAGTCTTTAAACTAGTTCCTGGAACAGAGGGAGATAAGTTATCTTGCATAAGTGAATTTACAAGGATATGAAAGGGTGGCAAGTACAGAACTGATACAAGGAAATTTATTTTAACATTAGACATGTTCAGAGATGGAACTTTTGCCTCAAGAAGTTGCTAGAGGCAAAGTTTCAAAACCAAATTATTTCAAGCTGCAGCCCATGCAGAGTTCAAATATTTCCTGCTAGTTCAGTTTGTGGAGGGGATATTAACAGGTGTGAACAGGTTCATTCAAGACCAGGAAGAGATCTAGAGAGAGGGCAGAGCTGCCTACTGCAGGATTTTTATGCTGTCATCTGAATTATTTGATATTACAACCCAGCTAGACTTGCTGGACCCGTGCTCCATGCTGCTAAAAAATCTTTGGTATTTAAGGATTTTTTTTACAGCCAAAGCACTCACCTCTTACCAACCACTGTCCTTTGTATATTTAAGAAATGAAACATTTCACTGTAATAAAATTGGGTAGACCAAAAAACAAAAAGCAGTTGCCAAAACTGTGGCCAGTCACCACGCTCTGAGGATCACAGGCTGCAACTCCAGTCCCCAGTTTGTACAGCTTTCCATTCACCTCATTTTCAACAGCTGATTTTTTGTCCCCCTAGATGGCAGCCCCTGGTGCTACCAGTCTCAGAAGAAGAAACAGCCACACTGTGAAGGTACTGCCAAATCATTTCTTTTCCCCATCACATTACTGTTTGGATTCTGGTTTGCAAAGGGCTTCTTTATAGAAATAATGTAAAAACTCAGCATTTAATGCTGCATCATCGTGTTCTGTGGAAACACAAGTGCTAAATAGAACACCTAAAGAAAGGTATTTTGAAGATATCAGTGTTCAAACTCCCCATTTTGTTTCAACCAAAGCTGATGTTACAAATAGGAAGATAACTCTAAACGTGCTCCAGAGGTAATCAGCCCAGCAGTGGGTATGGACAGCTACTGAAATTCTTAAAGACACTTATGAAAAGTCCTCATGTTCTACCTACAGCTGCACCTCCTGCTTCACCAGCAGCATCCCCCCGGGCTGCCAGCTCCACTGCTCGTCCCTGTGCCCTGCCCAGCCCTCCCTGGAACCAGCTGTGCTGGGAGCAACGTTTCACCAACACCCACCACTTCTTTTGTGGTTTTTTGTTTGTTTGTTAATAGCTTCCAAGTTCCTATAGTTTCTATAGCTCAGCCAAATTTAGTGGTAGCACACTTTCTATTTTACAGGCATTTACATGTACATATTTCCCTATTAAGTTTAACAGAAAGTTCTTGACCTATGTTAATACTTTTGAAGCTACAAGAAAGTTCTTGTGTTAAATTCCAACATCCAAAGACCTTTTCTTCAAAGCTGTCTCCAAGTTCCCAAGCAAAAATATACTGACTTTTGGGTGGTCTCTATCAAAGATTTTCAGGCTCCAGAATAAATTTACTTTCTTCATCCTTAAACAGAACCTCGAGACTGGCATCGAATCGATGCCACCTGCAAAGGAAGCAAACAGTCACCTATCAACATTGTCACCAAAAATGTTGTTTATGACAAAAGCCTTAAGCCACTGAATTTTGAAGGATATGATGTGAAGGGGTCTTCAAAATGGAATATAGAAAATAATGGACATACAGGCAAGTACTATCAAATTATTACTGTTATTATGGGAATTACTTATGCTTTCACTTGGAACCATCCATTCACTTCTTCCTAGTCCTAGATGACGTGTTAGGTATCACTACTGCTACTTAAAAGCAAGGAAGCAAAAATAAGATGGCACCTCTGTATTTCAGAAATGAACCCCTTCTGAACCAAAGCTTTCTGGGAACTTTGTGGGAATTACCCAGTTTTTGGACTCTGGATATGGGCCCTGAGCATCTCAGCAGAAATTGATTCTGTACCTGTGCAGAAAGAGCTCGAGGAGTCTAGGGAACCTTTAAGTCAAACAACTTATTTGAAGAATAAGATAAAACAACGTCTGGGTCTTATTCTTCAAATAATGAGCTGAAATCTTCCCAGATTTCAACCTGTTTTCTCTGCATGTGGATATTATCTAATGTGAACTTGCTGATTAGCTTCTTACTGATTCAGTAAACAGTGAATCAGTGAAGAGGAAATCAGTAAACAGTGAATCAGTGAGTAGTAATTGAGCACTCTTTCACTTCCTCCACTTCACTAGAAATAATACTTATTATGATGCTTCAACTATATTATGCTAAATTAACTTTAAAACCAGATCTGTTGTCCTTTAAAAACAAAATCTATGGGTGTTCTTAAAATCTTAAATGGATTAAAGGTCTTAGAATGGGAAGTTGTCAGGTATTTTCCTAACTTAAAATGGAAGAGTAGGAAAGTAGACAGCTGGGCAGAGTTTCACAGCCAGGGATCCTAGTTTAAAACATCAGTATTTTGACTGACCATAAGGAAAAGACATTCTGACTTTTCACTAGTACATGGGTTAATGACTTTCCCATTACAGAATGATATTCTAGACTCATCATATTACATTACCTGTGCAAAGAAACATCTTTTATACAAAATTTAATATTCATAAGGCTTGGTCAGAACTCTCATCTTTCCCAGCCATGCAAAAAGATTAGGTTTTTAATCTGGGCTTTTAAAATGTCTTCCTTCTGAGGGCAACCAATTCCTGTGCTACGAGTACAACGCTGGAACTGTTATTGCTTAAATTATGGCTGCAATTAGAAGCTCTACGTGAGATTAGACTATCACTGTGTTTGGTGATGTGCAGATAGTAAAGGTCATTGTCTCAAAGGTCCTACAATCGAAAGAAACAAAGCCAACAAAGATATGTTACTCATCCTTTTGCAGATAAAAAAAGCAAAGTAACTAAATGACTCACGTAAGCTTCCAATTCATTTGGAAGTCAGAACAGAAATGAAATCTCTAGGGCCTCAATCCAGGGCAAAACAACCTTTCCTATGGAAAGAAAAGTTCTGTGCTTAACATAGAGGTCTTGAGTTAATTTTTCAAGTACATCCCGAATGTCACAAGCACAGGAAGTGATGGTGATCCATGGCCAGAAAAATAACTCCTAAGAAAATTTCGGTTTGCTGCTAACAACAGATCAAACATCACATTAAATAGATATAATGACCTAGATGCTTAGGCTTAAGTCACACCACAAGTCTAAATTAAAACAGAATATCTTTAAAGCCTACCTAAATCAAAAGTTACTGTAAAGCAGTTACAAGAGGATATAAAACCCAAGTAAACTGTAATCAAGTTTAATTTGCAGAATACTTTGATAGAGGGTGTTCTCCTAGAAAAAAGCGGAAGGAATACAGGGTCTTCTGCAAGGCATAGGTAACTCTGACTCCTGGGGTTACAGTGTCAGTGAACAAATCCCTACAGATCCCCTCGGGGCAATCCAGGAGAGTCTGTTACCCTGTTTCCTTCAGGACACAGTTAACCAAGGCTACTCGGAAGGGCAGAACAATGGGTGCCATAAAAGTCTATAAAACCCTCACCCCAGAACAATTCAAAGTAGTGCCCTGTCCTTTTCCTCCATTTACAGAAGGGAACAAGTATAATCAAATTCATTGTATTTATTACTCCTCACTCAGCTGAAGGAATGAGTAGCTTAGCTCCCCAGCAAGTGAGGCTCTACACAGGTCACTGAAGTCCACAGAGCAAGTCCTGGTGGAAATGAGAACGCAGCTCCAGGCGCTGTGCCATAGAGGGATGCCCAAATGCTGATGCATGTTACTGGGAAGTGGGCTGTGATATTTCTCCCTTTCCTCTCAAATTAACCTCAGCCAGCAATTTGCAAGAGTTCAGCTTCTGCAGAGTTGAACTTCTGGAACACTCCGTATGAAAAACCAAGCCAGAAGTTTAGGATAAATTAAAGACCATGCTCTCCACCGTCATATACTGTTAATGTATGATCTGGGGTTTTTTCTTGGTTTGTTTTAACAGCTTATTTGTTTTCCCCAGTTAAAGTAACACTAAGCACATCCCCTAAAATTGGAGGTGGAGGCCTGGGAAGAAAATACAAGGCGATAGAATTTCATTTGCACTGGGGAGTCCAACTTGAGGTTGTGCCACAATATCTGCCTGGGTCAGAGCACAGCATAGATGGAGAAAAACAAGCCATGGAGGTAGGTGAGACTGTTCGTGGATTGTGGCTTTCACTCAAGAACTCTGGCTCTTTAAGATCATGTTGCACAAAAACTGTTGGCTAGTTCTCCTATGAAACTCCAGCAGTGGAAATAAAGAACCAAGGGCACGTTGCTCACTAACCAGAACAATCACACTGTCACACTGCTTATTCAGACTATAGATCCTTTCCTGGGACTGCAACCACGGATGGACCTATGCATCTGAAAAAATATTTCATGGTTCCAGCCTCAGGCCAAGGGCCTCGAGCTGTCTGTCTGTCTGTCCCCAGCAGCCCCACTGCAGCAGGGGCACAGAGAGGCAGCCAGGCTGCACATACAGCCATGAACTGTAGAGGAAGATGAACAAATAATTGGCCTTGACCTGTGTTACAGCTTCATATCGTCCACATAAGAGAAGATGTTTCAGATATAACAGAAGCAAAGAAAAAAGCAGATGGTGTGGCTGTGTTAGCGTTCTTTGTAAAGGTAGGTAGCTAGATTTTTAATTGCACATCTCAAATCTACCAGAAATCTGGCTGAATGATTGACAGTGTTAATGTTGCAGTAGTCCAAGACCTAATCCTATCTATCTTCAGCAGGCTCTCAAGGCCAGTACTTAGTTCCTTTGCTCTTTTCTGTGTTCTCCTTGCTATCATCTTTTAGCCTTGTGGTTCCTTCCTGTTTTATTCACAAATAATTTAAAGCATCTGTCTGTTGAGAAATGCATGAGTTGGAATAAAAATATTTTCATTTCAGGCTGAAAAAGAGAATAAAAACTACACAACCATCATCGATGAATTAGAGAATATTAGATACAAAGGTAAGACACTTGTGCTGGTCACAATGCAACATACGTTTTGAGCACATGTACTACCAGGTATTTCATTGTCCAATCCTGTTCTAATTACAGTAGTATTGGTACCTGGAAGCCAAAAGATAAAGCTTAGTTTGTCAAGCACTCAGAGCATTGCAGGTGGCAGAGAATCTAGTTCCCCATGTGTGCAGTGAAGGAGCCCCCAGCGCTAGGATGAAGATTCCTGCTTCTGCAGGAGGAGCCCCAGAGAAAGACAAACCACCCAGTGCTAGCACAGGAGGTCTCTGCAGCCTGGGGGTCCCCTGGCCAGCAGCCCCAGGCTGGGGGGGAAGTGTCCATGGGGATGGGGCTTCATGGAGACCAAGGCAAATGGCTCCTGCAGCCACGCCTGCTACCAACAGCATTTCCACCCACAGGGGGAAGGGCAGAGATGGAGCCTTTGCCACTGAGTTCCCTTCTCCCACCTGAGAAAGACCTTGGAAGGTACTATCGGTACGAGGGGTCCCTCACCACCCCCGACTGCCACGAGGGTGTCATCTGGACCATATTTGAGAAGCCAGTTGAACTCAGCATTTTCCAGGTAAGCTGCAAAGGGGTAGCCTGGAGGGTCTGCTTATGGTTAACACAGACTTGCTAGCTGCTCTGCTCCTAGGGCATACCACTCTTGGCCGTAGCCTAAACATAGTCCCTAGTGCCAGCTTTTTGACCCTGTTAAATCATCTCTCAAAAAATGGCAGGAAAGGGGCAGGAAAGGGAAATGACAATGTGAAAAGAAAGCCAACCTCCCCCCCCCAGGTAAACACCTAGCTCAGCACTTCCACTGCTGTCATCTGCACACCCCCCCAAATTTCTCTGTTTTTCTACTATTAAGTATCAGGATACTAGAACAAAACACTCCAAAATGCAAACTTGGAGTCCATCAGCTTTAGGCAACCCACTTCTGTACTCTAGAGAGGAAACAGGAGACTGAATCACAACTGCCTTGAAAATACAGATTGTTCAGCTGATTCAAAAATTCTGATGTCCTGGAGTGGGCTGTCAGCAGTGCTATGAGCCAGTACAGCCTGGCTGGGAGCCAGCATCTGTATTTTAATCCCTTACCTGCAGTGTGCTCATAATTACCTGAGTCACAGGGCAGTGCTCAGCCATGCACAAGTCAGCACAGTCCACAGGAGTGAGCATCTGCTTGCTCTGGGCCAGTGTCATGCTGGAAGCAGTTAGAGGTTTGCAGCAAATAAAGAAATGCCAGTCCCCTTTGTGTCACTGTGACGTGATGGACAAGGACAGGACTCTGTGCATCACCAGAACTGGTGTAATCAGGCCCGTGAGCTGCACAAAGCATTTGGCTCACACAGAAAGGAAGTCCCCGTGATTTTCAAAGCTAAGAAGTCATCTGGTGGTGACCTCTGGCAGTAGCCTCCATCACATTGTTTCCTGCAAGGTTTAATGCATCCACACAGTTCAAAACCAGAGCAAGGCACTGCAGATTTATAACCACACAATTTCCAGTGTTTCACAGAAAAAAGATTTAACGATTCGTTTCATTCTTCACCGTCTGCAGATTCATCAGTTTTCAACCATCTACTTTGATGAGAAGAACTCAACCCCCATGGCCGAAAACTTCCGACCCGTCCAGTTTCTGCACCAGCGGAGGGTGTACTGGTCCAGTGCCAGCAGCACCCTCCTGGCCCCTGCTGAGCTCCTGACCGTGCTCCCACTTACCTACACCCTGAGTTCTCTCTTCCAGTGAACACTTCTCACTTCATTCAAAGTTCTGGGCTTTTGGAGTTGTTTGTTTGGTTGGGTTTTTTTTGGTATCAAGTGTTCTCTCTAACTGCCAGCTCATGAATCATCTAAACACAGAAATTAACCTTGTCCTCCTCCAGACACTAACCAAGAACTGTTGCTGCTCTTGTATAAAATGAAGCCCATTGCACTAAATCACAAGAATCCAAAGGAACTGTGAGATAAAGCTATGAAGATGCAAATTATTTTTAAAAAGCCACTTAAAGAAAACATTAGGATGGATTATCTGCAAGCCTGTAGTTGCAACACAGCACTGGAGGGACACCTTCCAAGCCATACAGAGGACAGTGAAGAGGAATCTGTTCTTAAGTGCCTACGAAGGGTTTGGTCTGGAGTATGTTTACATCCAACACTGCCCATCAGGAAGACAGTAACACGTGGAGTAATTCTTATCATCCCTACATTGTCCCACAGGAAGGTACCACACAGAGCAATGAAAAAATGCTCACATGCAGCTGAGCAGTGTCTGGGTCATCCTATCTAGTGAAGGACATGCAACAGATTTCATCTGTACTAACACAATTTTTCCTTCTTCTTCCTTCAGAATATCTAAAATTAATTTTTAGAAAAGGATGCTAGATTCCTTTCCTCTAACTTCATGATTCTGGATTTCAGGTTTCTCTACTCAGCCTATTTATTCATCCTAGTATGGAACCCTGCTCTGGGATTCCCATGGCCGCTCTGATGTGCTAGAAAGAAGAAGGGAAGGGAAGCTCAGCCACGTGTACCAGTTGCACATCTGTGGAAATTCCCTCTCTTTGGAGGGCTGCTTTTGAAGTGTGAGATTTCCATGATCCTTCAGAGTTTTCATTTGCCTAATAAAATGGGACAGCTCAAGAAATGGCTCTTTCCAGCATCCCATTTTAGAAGTTTGTAAATATCAGTTTGAACATTTCATTTTTTTTTTTAAATAATAACATATCTGTAATATTCACATATGGTTAAGAGGCATAGGAGTTTTTTTTGTGATTGTGATTTGAACCAATTTCTTCAGATCTTACCCACTTTCAGAAAAGCTCAATACATTGGGAAATGGCATTTCCTTATATTATTCCAGTTCTCTCTCTGAAGACAGATATAACCATTTTCTTTGGCTAATGCCACATAACGTGTTACATACAGCTTGTTACAGAAAGTTAGATTTTGGCCACACCAAAATAGGATTTTCTATTAGCAGACTTCTGTTTTTTCCCTTAGGGCAATGTTTGCAGAGATGAGTTTATGCTCCAGCTCTATGGGCATTTGCAGGAAAACCACAGCAGTGAGCCTGTCCACAGCTCACCAAAGGAGAAAAGGCAGAGGGAAAATTATTTTCATATTTAACAATCAGTAATAAAAGCTTTAAAAAAAAAAACACATGGGAAAGCAAATTCCCCTTTTGAAGTTTAGAGGAATGATTAAGACTTTAACTGTATTTTTATCTAACTGAAAAACTTTTGAGAAGCAAATGTAAATGTAAGATTAAAGTTGAACTGAGACCTACATTTTCATTGCCTTGAGCTTTTATTCCTCTCGTCCTTGCTGAAGGGGAATCCACACCACTCTCATTCAGAAAAGGAATGTGACTTTTTTCCTTGTTTACTTCACAACCTTTAGGGTTGGGTTTGCATTTTTGGGGGGTGAAAGGGGAGGGAGGGATTTGCAGTACCTTGAGGTGTTTCTGCCATCTGTCAGCAAGCTTCTGGAGATTCTGTTTCACACAGGCTGGCTGGGTATTATCTGCACACAGCAGAACTGCTTTGAGTACCTTGCTCAGCAGGGCTGGTGCACACCTCCAGCCCGTCGGGCAGAGGACAGGCAGGTTTCTCCCAGTGGAGGTGCCCCAGATTTACCCCCTGTGCCTCCACCTCTGTACGAACAGCTGGCCAGCTAACCAGGACCAGAGCTGCCTGCTCACCCATCTGTTCAACTTCTCTGTGTTAGCCCTTTCCAGTACATCCCTCCACACCCCACAAGGAGAGAATGCCTCTAGAAAGCAAGAGGAAAGATGCTTTGTGTCCATGCTGTTGTACAAGGTGTAATAAACAGAAATATCCTGACAGGTTCATGTTCTATTGCTCTTTCAAGATTTACAAGCAACACAGCAAACGACACAATCACATACAAGAGTCCTGTAGGGCTGGGAGCTCCTGCTTTAAAGAGCAGCAGTGTGAATACTCCCCAGGATGGTTCCCCCAAGAGCAATGCCCTTTGCACTACAAAAGTCCCCTGCATGTGCTGGGGGGGTGTGTGAGCCCATCATCCCCCTCTGTTTAGATAATTCACTGAACTCCTGAAGTGATTCTCATTCCATAGGCAGCTCTCAGGAGGAGGACTGGAAGAAGCTGTGAAGGATCTGGGTCTGCTGGCACTTAGTGCTGGTGAGAAATGCTGAATCACAGGGGCAACACTTCACTAGGTTGTGTCTCAGTTTACCACGCAGATAGAAAGGAGCATTTACAATTAGTTACAGTGTAGGAGGATCTTTACTATGAAATATGTTAAAACATAACTAAGAGGAAAAAAAAATCTGCTGGAAAGACAATTAGTCCTCTGTAAGTACCCTGCTGCACAAACCTTAGCAAAATAAAATCTGAATAGCCAAGTGTGACCCTTTTTACTGAGTGAATCTGAATTTTATGGCACTGAGGAAAGGGGAAATGCTACAATCTGCATCTGTGTCAGTGACCTAGTTCAATTTGTTCTTTGCCAGAGGCACCTCTCTGCCACCAGGCAGACACGTTCTGTTCTGGTGCAGGATGTGACAATTACAGACTAGTATTAAAGCAGTGAATAAACACAAATCTACAGCAAAAGCTATTCAATTGAAAAGACAGGAAGGCTTGGAGTGGGACATTTGGTTTTCTTTTGTGAGGATAGACATGGAAAAGTAATTTGCTGTTCCACAGGTAGCTTCAGCCACTGATTTTCAAGAATTGTGTCTAGGCTACATTTGGCATGAAACTTCTTATACTGTGAAGGCACTGGGAAATGACAGTGGCTCCTGAAGAACTGTCAGCCAAACTGTGACAATGCAGGAAAGGGTGGGGGAAGGAACAGAGGCATTTAGAAAGACCCAGAAAGAACAGCATTTTCCCACGTACAGAAAAGTTAACACAGAACTTGGCTAACACATTTCACATATGTTGGAGCCAGAGCTGAAGACTGCTTAGCTTCTGTGACTCAAAACTGGGGTACAGTAGAAAATGAGACACCACTGGAACTAAAATTCACTGTTTCATGTTTGCTAAAATGTATGTGTCAGGTTTAAAACAAAGACAAGCTGAATCAAATCTGAGCAAATCCTCCTCATTGTGAGGCTGAACAGCAGCTAGGTGCTCTCCAGGCTTCAGTAGGTCCTTCCCATCTCTACAAATACCCCAAACTGATGACACAGTGTTCTCAAAAACACCGTGTCCTTCTCCAAAAGCAGTCCTCCTCCAGTTTGGGATCAGACCTTGATTTGTGAGCAAGCCTCCAGAGGTCTGGGAGGTGAAGGGGCAGCTCTGCCATACGAACATGGCCTCAGCTTCACTCCTCTCCCAGTCCTCTGGCAGCTGGTGAGGGAGCAGAGGAGGACAGCAGGAGGTGCAGGCACAAGAAAAATTCCTAAGAGAGTATGTTTGCAGCAAAACATTTTCTCAGGAAGCAGAAAGAGACAAGGAAACCTAGTGGTTGCTCACAAGAAACATATTTACATTATCCACAAAGAATTTTAACAAACTTGCCAGTTTCATTGTATGGTCAGCTCCTCCTGCTGAGAAACATGAACTCCAAATGCACTTTCCTTCTGTACAGAACTGATTTTCCACAAATGCTTGAAGAAGAGGATAAAACTTTTTGCCTTTTCCTTCCCTCCTTTGCCCATCCAGAAGTGGGTTTCATTTGCCAGCACAGCCAGCAGCCCTAGAATATCACAGAATCCTGTTCAACAACTGTCATACAGCAAATCCATCCACCTATAGTCAAAAAGCTGCTCAGACTGGTTTTGAAGGCTAATAAACGTGTTAGCAATAGGCTTAACATCAACCACCTCTGATCCAGAGATGGGGAGGTCCATGGCTTATTGCTCTACCTCGTGCAGGAGATAACACTCCATCACAAAATTACTGTTACACTTGATGATCTTAAAGGTCTTTTCCAACCTAAATGATTATGTGATTCTATAAATGAATCTATGAAAAAAAAATGATAATGCTTGGAGAGACATGAGGATCTTTTCAGTAGAGTTAAAAGGGGACTTGGTGATTTTATTCCACTAGGCACTACAGATGCCATGGAATTTAGAGACATTTCAGTGACAGAGACAGAACTGTCCGGGTAGCTCAGTGCAGCCAGAGGTGGCTGGGGAAGGTGTCTCCTGCAGGAGGAAGCCCTATATAAATTATAACATACAAGAAATGCAGGATTTAGTAGCAAATTAATGTGGAAAAGCCAGCAGAACTCTAGCTGGGCCTTACTGAAGAGACACACGTGAGGAAACAGAGACTGGCAGGCTCCTGCCAGGCTGCCCAGTCTGATGGGCTGCTCCCCACGGGCACGGGGGATGAGGCAGCCGAGCACAATCCTGCAGGATTCTTCCACAGGGAGCATCTGAACCCCACCTCACTCCCAGGCTGCATCCCTCACTTGCTCCTCTCGGAGCCTTACGGGAGCATCTGCTCCAGCACGAGGTGATGGACCCATGAGGAGGCAGTGGGTGCAGCCAGGACACCACCCGAGGGGTCCTCTGGGGCTGGGCACTGCTCAGCCTGCCGAGTCTTTGTGCACCTTGTTTTCCTCAGTGTTATTTCCCTGTTTCACCCCCTTGGCAGGCTGGCCTGGCTCACAGCTTTGCCCTTCCCGGGCTGTGGGAAGCAGCAGCAGGGCTGGGCTGAGGCCCCTCTGAGGTGGGCAACGTTGGCACAGCAGCACCCACTGTCAAAGTCACATTCAGGTGCCAGGCAGGCCAGATCCATGACTTAA